ATATGACCTAGTCCTTTTAGTGGAAATAGATATTTAAAATAACTATAATTAAAAGCATGAGAGAAATACCAACTGAGTGCTGTTGAATTAGAAAAAGAAGAGGAGGCGGCAAATGATTGAGCGCCAGCGTAAGTGATTCATATAATTAACGCCTGAGAAGGGCGACATCTTTGAAACCAGAGGGTGATGGCTTCATATAGAAAATGAGTCTTGAACAAGACTTTGAAGAAGAGGTAGAATTTGAATAAGTGGAGAGGTAGGAATCCTACTCAATTTAGAATTGAGTTGTTTTGCCAAGAAGGTAATTATTTAATTAGAGTCTTTTCAAGTGGCAAGTATTAAAGAGCATGTGATAACATGACTGTAGAAAGACTCTGACTCTTTAGAAAGCATTATACTGGGAAGATTGCTGGCAACGTTTTTTTCCTCTCCAATGGTGCCAAGTCTTTTTTTTTTTTTTCTTTTTCTTTAAAAAAAAAAAAAACTTATTTAGAGATGGGGTCTTGCTGTGTTGCCCAGTCTGGTCTTGAACTCCTGGGCTCAGATGAGGAGGAGCCCATATCCCTCTCATCTCCTGAGTGGCTGGGACTACAGCCGTGTACCACCGCGACTGACTTGATTTTCTGTCCTCAGCTATTTGTGTACTTTAATTGGAAGATTGAGTAAAGAATAGTTATTTTATAAGGGAAACACACATTTTGCTTTTACTGAATAGTACTCTGTAGCCATATATTGATTGAAAAAAAAAATAGAAACAAATAATGTGTATCTCTGCAGACAAAGAAGTACAACATTCAGATAAGTAAGGAAACCCCCATTAAGTAATGTCAACTGGTACTTTCTACAAGTATATCTGGGTCTGTTTAGGGACTAAACTGGTAGAAATAATTGGGGAATTTCCTTTCCTAAATTTGACAGGTAAATTTGCTTTTCACACTTTCTGTTTTAGTTGCTCATATTTAAACTGTTTTGAGAAGGAGAAGGATCAATTAAAATGTGTTTTATTTAATGCTAATTGAATAGTACCATATTTAAACATATACCAACTTCCAAAGTGCTTGATGTAACTATATATAATTAGTAAAAGAAGAATCATAATTTTTATTTTTGTAAATTAAATGTAGTTTTTCCCTGTTAAAACATCATTATGAATGAATCCCTTTATCTAGTTTATCATTGCCTTTCCTAAAAGCAGTGATATTTGACTAATATTGTCTAACTTAATTGCTACCATGTGATGAATTCTAGATAATTCTTTAGGGGAAACTTTCCTACTATCTCAGTTATTTTCAGTGACAAGTAATTGGAGGAGTTTATAATAGCTTTTATCATTTAATGTATTTTAATAGCTGGAATATATGTCCAGTCCAAAGAGAATGCATCACAGGATGATCACAAATTGAAAATGAGATTACACATGAAAATATTTTGTAAACTGCAAAGTCCTGTGCAAATAAGTGTAAGGTGATATTATTGTTCTGAGATTAGTATTTGTTATTTCAAGGTCTCTGTAGAACAGTCATAGTTCATAGCTTAGAATCTGGAGCCACGTGGTCTGAGATCAAGTCTAGCTTCAGCCCCTTACTAGTTCTGTAATCAAGGATAAGTCTCTAAACCTCTCTATAACTCAGTTCCTCTGTCTGTTAAAATGATGTTTTAGTAGTATATCTACTTCATAGGATTGTTGTGGCGATTCAATGAATTAGTATATGAAAGTCTTTTGCAACAGTGTTTTGGCACGCAGGAAATGTTATGTGTTACCTATTCTCATCATTACTGTCATTATCACTACATCATGCAGAATAGATAATTACTTCCTGATATATGCTAATCATGTTTTTCTCTATGGAATTCTTCCTGTACTCTCCTGGTTTTGCATTTTTCTGAAAGAGAGCTCCTTGAGAATGAGGACTGAATCTCATCTATTTTTTTTTTTTTTTCCCCGACTGGTTCTCACTCTGTTGCCAAGGCTGGAGTGCAGTGGCATCATCTCAGCTCACTGCTCACTGCAACCTCCACCTCCGGAGTTCAAGCGATTCCCATGTCTCAGCCTTCCAAGTAGCTAGGACTATAGGCATGCCCCAACACACAACCATACCCGCCTAAATTTTTTTTTTTTTTTTTTTTTTTTTTTTAGAGAGACAGGGTTTCACCATGTTGGGTCGGCCAGTCTGGTCTCGAACTCCTGGCCTCAAGTGATCCATCCAACTTGGCCTCCCAAAGTGTTGGGATTACAGGAATGAGCCACCACACCTGGTCTCCTATATGGATTTGATTCCATGTACCTTCTGTGGGAAGCTTCATTAATCACTTCTGCCCAAGACAGCCTCTTCTGTTCTATTATACCTTTTATATATGCATGTATAATAGCATTACTATATATTCTCTGCTCGTCTTTAAAGTTTTTTATCCTTTTGATTAGATGATACATGTACATAGTACAAACTTCACGAAATGCAAAAGACTGTGGTGATAAGTGGACCTCTGCCTCCCTGGAGACAGTTACCCTACCAATTCTTTACATATCCCTGCAGAAACAGTCATGGCGTTGCACAGCTTGCACATGTGTTTTAATGGTAGCATATTGGATACTCTGTTCCACTTTGCTTTGTTCACATACTATACTTTGAATATTCCATATCAGTACATATAGCACTTTTGAACGGCTATATAAAATAGTGCTATCATTTTTAACCAGTCACTTGATGGTGGGCTTAGTGGTATTCTGTGACTGTTACTGACATCACTGCAGTGTGCACTGGTACACATACAGAAGTCCACACAAGTAGGCCTGTATCTTTCAAGTAAATAGGTGGAATTACTGAGTCAAAGAATTTGTGCATTTTAAGATTTTTACTCTGAAAGACAAACTGCTCTTTATGGGGATTTTATTAATCTACAACCCCATCAACAATGTGTGAGAGCCCGCTTTTCCTCACACTTGCCAACTCAGTATGTTATTAAACCTTTTGGTCTCTGCCGCTTATGTGTCCCAGATCAACTTATAATTCTGCTTCATACAGTTTGCCATCCTTTAGAATATTTCTGTCTTGCCTCCCTTCATTACAGTAGCTCTTTACAATCTTAGATAATCATATCTTCATTGACTTTCCTTAACTTCCAGGAGAGTTCTAGTTTCTGATATTCTGTTCCATTAACATGTACTTACTTGTCAAACCAGGTACCCTCAGTTACTTACATGTCATAGTGCTTTGTAAATGTTTATGGATTGATTAGCCTAAGTGGCAAAGTCCATCTTCTCTGTAATTTTGAACAAGAGAGAGTCATTGCTTTCTAAATACTTTTTATTAGTTTCTGCCTTTGTGTTAATTCATGTATTTCACATTGTCAGTATCTGTTACTACATGTGTGAATCTTTCTCAGTGTTCAAACTCGGCCTCTTTGCTGCCAACTTTTACCTTGTTAGCAAGGTGAACACATATTCATTTAAAGGTATCAATAATATTTTATGACCTGTTTTCTAGTAGCCCAGGATAGAGTCTTTCTGGGTTCATTCTGCAGAGCTGGCTGAGTTAGATGGGAAGAATCTCAAAAAAGATGCCGTCCTGGGATAGTAGGGGAGACTCAGGGTCTTGGTTAAGTTAAAAGGGTAGCCTCTGCAGTGGCTCATGCCTGTAATCCCAGCACTTTGGGAGGCTGAGGTGGGAGGATCGCAAGATTAGGAGTTTGAGACCAGCTGACCAACATGATGAAACCCCGTCTCTATTAAACACAAAAATTAGCTGGGCATGGTGGCGTGTGCCTGTAATCCCAGCTATTCACGAGGCGGAGGCAGTAGAATTGCTTGAACCTGAGAGGTGAAAGTTGCAGTGAGCTGAGATCACACCACTGCACTCCAGCCTGGGTGACAGAGCGAGACTCATCTCAAAAAATATAAAGGAGTGTCCTCCTAGAGCCGAGACAATGAGATCCTGTAACTGTGCAGGAGGTTTTGTTCATGGCCAGACTATTGTGGGAACCTCTTGAACAACAAAGTAAAAAGAGCGAAATGGGCAGCGAAGTTGTGAGCCAGGCTGGGGTTTGAGTGGAGGGTTCATGTACATATTCAATACCAAACCATTGAAAGTCATTGCTAGAGTATTAATTATTTTGACATTTTAAAGAGTTTATAAATTAGGGATTGTTGATCAGATGAAAAGGCGTGGTGGGCTAGAAAGCAATGACTGGCAGAATCTAAATAATTTATTGATTACCGTAACATTTTTTTAATGTACGATAAGATCGGTCCATTGTATTCAGTTGCACAGTTTATTAGGTACTACACAAAAGCACCTGTCTAAGGAGGCAGAGGGAGACTAAATTCCAGCCCGGGTTCTAATCACCGAGGCATGTACCTGGTGGTATGCCTGAAGAAAAGTGTGCCTTTTTCATCTGCTAATTCAAATATTCAGGGTAGGCAAGTGGAGGCCTTGTTCTCTTTGCTTCATATGTTGTAGACTTAATGTGAAGAATATCCTCTAATTTGTTAAAAAAAAATCAATATGTCATAGTATTTTCTTTCTTTTTTTTTTTTTAGATTATAAAAACTTCCTCTTTAATCAAGGCTTATAACATGAACAGATTTTTTGAATAAAATGGAAAGTTTCCAGTACACTGAAACATAAATCCACAATTCACCATACGTACAACACCCGGCAGAAAAAAACAAAAGCAAGTTTACACGATCCCTGTAACAGCCATGGTGTTAATCTCAGATGCTTCCTCCATCTGCCAAGTTCGTTCTAGATACACAGCACACTGTGGCTTCTGGGATCACACTCAGCTGAGGCTGTGGGTCCACAGAGCACTCATCAGGCTGGGCTATGGTAGTGGTAGCTCTACTCAAGAAACAAAGCAGTTACCAGCACATTCAAACAGTGTATTGAACATCTTTTAAATATCAAAGTGAGAAACAAGAAGGCAACACAGTCATCATCAGGAAGATGTTAGGAAGTAAGGACAGCTGTGTAAAGCTTGAGGCTGAAAGTGGCTTGCCAGCTTCATTTCTTCGACTTCTTGGGTCGTGGGTGCCAGAACAGGAAGATGTGAGGTTCTGATTCATGGATCATGTAATGGACCCAGCCCTGACTCTGCTGAACACCAAGATTCCTGCATTCAGATTCAGACATCAAATGGGTTTTACGGATCAGCTTGGCTGTGTCCTTGGGCAGCATGACATGCTGATACTCAAACGCCTCGCCGTCGTATTTGTCTGAATAGCAAATTTGTTTGTGCGACACGATTGCTCCGTCTGCTAGCCTTCAGCCCCGCCCTGCCAACTTCCAAGGAACCGTCATAGTATTTTCTGATCCAAAAAGTATATTCAGCAGTAAATGATGACTGGTCACCATTTAATTCTCATTTATAAAATGAGAATGGGAAAAAGAAAAAAGAACTTAAATATTTGGCTTTGAAAGAGTAGGCCTGTATGAAAAAGAAATGTTAAACATTTGTACTGTTTCTTTTTAAGCTTTTTTTCTCTGTTATAAGATTTTCCCCTTTGAGGACACTGCAAGCAAAATGAATCATGCCATCAGAGAATGCCCTCTAGATCTTCTTGGGGTTTCTGTAGCCAGCAGTGTACAGGAAACTAGTCACATTATTAATTGCATTCTCTCTTGGCCAAAGGGTTAGCTATTCTAAAATGTGATTTCACTGCCTGCATCAGTCGTAGGCCTAAGCTTCTCTTTGTTATTTTAGTAAATATATGTGTGTATGGAGTGATTTAGTTCAAATTTAGTGTATTAAGTGGTAGTTTACCTAAGGCACCCATGTTTCCCTTCCCCTCTCCTCCTGTTTCAGATTGTACAGAGACCTGGAGGTCTATAGACCACATCTATTCTGAAATGTGAGTTTTGTTTGGCTCACACAGTTTTGGGACTTGTTGTGTTTCAAATGTGTTTAGATAAGAGTTGTTCGTTTCCATTAGTCACTATTCTGACCATTCCCTTTTGTTTTATATCTGGTCTTCTTCAGCTGTCTTTCATGCTGGCCTTCCAGTTTGTAATTCTCACTTTGTATCTGGACACTGTGAACACAGAATTAAGGCAGGAAATTAGAAGGTAGAATAAAATCTGCCTTTAAGAAGCAATTTACATTAAACAAGTAACTCTTACTTATAGTATCAAGAAATGTTTTCAAATATTATAATTGTATACCAATGTCATTCCCCTAACTACTCTTCCCATTTAATTACAATTAGGCTGGGCAAGATAAATACGAGGTTGTAGGCAAAATTAGGGAACTGTGTCAAGGTTTAGAATACCAAGGGTCAATAGCAGGCCAGTCCCTGGAAGGCAGAATATACATAAACACTAAGGTCAAGACAAGTCATAGGTCAGAGCAAGGTGGACAGACTAGGGAATAGCAGTAGCATCCACTGCCCATGGGATCAGGAGCATCAGGTCCAAGCCTCTAGGACCAGTAAATGCATGAGCATTAAAGGAATGAGATCAGAATTGGGAGGCAAGGAGGCTGAGTCATGGGGGCTCACGGTCTCAACAAGGAAATGGGTCTCTGAGGGGAAGGGGGGCAGTACAGGACACTACATGAAATAAAGGAGTTTGCCACAGATGAACCCCCTTTGCCTCTGCTTAGAATGTTTTTTTTTTTTTTAATTAATAGACTTTAGTTTCTAGGTTAACAAAATAGAACAGGTAGTACAGAGTGTTCCCAGATACCACCTTCTCCCACCATCCCCTCACACACCTGTTTCCCCTATTTTCCTGTTTTTAACATTGTACATTTGTATGATATATTTGTTGCAATTGATGAACCAATATTGATACACTATTGATGAGTTAAGCTCATTTTTTTACATTAGGGTTTATGCTGTGTTGTATATTTTATGGGGAGTGTGTTCGTGTGTCAACATTTACATTACATAAAACTTACTATTTTTTCCATTTTTAGGTGTGCTGTTCAGTGGCATTAAGTACATTCACACTAATGTGCAACCATCACCATTAGTCATCTCCAGAACCTTCTCAGTAACCCTAATGGAAACTGTACCCATTAAACAGTAACTCCCCATGTCCCTACCCTCACCCTCAGTAACCACTGTTCCTTTTATCCTATATATTTGACTATTTTGGGCATCTCATATAAGTGGCATTGGACAATAATTGTGCTTTAATCACTTGAGCCCAGGAGTTTGAGACCAGCCTGGGCAACACAGTGAGTCCCTGTCTCTACAAGAAATTAATAAATTAGATGGGCGTGTTGGCACTTGCCTGTTGTCCTAGCTACTTGGGAGACTGAGGCAGGAGGATCACTTGAGCCTAGAGGTCTTGGCTGCAGTGAGCCATGATCATGCCACTGCACTCCAGCCTGGGCAACAGAGAAAGACTCTGTCTCTTAAAACTAATAAACAAAAAATTGTCCTTTTGTTTCTGGCATATTTAACTTCCCATGGTGGCTTTAAGGTTCACCTATGTTGTAGCATGTATTACCATTTCATTCTTTTTTAAGGCTGAATATTCCATGGTATATGCCACATCTCGTTGATCCATTCATCTGTCAATGGACATTTGGGTTTTAACCTTTTGCATATAATGCTGCTATGAACATCAGTGTACATACATCTGTTTGAGTTTCTGCTTTGAGCTCTTTGTGTGTATATAGTCAGAAGTGAAATTGCTGAATCAAATGGTCTATGGGTTTTTGGCAAATGCATAATGTCATGTGTCCACAGTACAGAAGAGTTTCACTGTCCAAAAACTCTGCTTCAACCATTCTTCACTCTCCCACCTTTGCCTCTACTTAGGTTTTAATGTTCTTTTTTTTAGACATTTAACTATTGTTTATACTTCCAACCTGGAACTTTCAGGTAAAGATGTGTTAGTAAAATCAGTGATCAAGGGAAAGTAAGATGTTCTGGTAAATTATTGATAGTCCCTTAGGCTTTGAGATTTTGAAAGTTACTTACACAGTTAACGTACAGGTAACAAACACAGAGCTTTAGAATGCATTGGCTTCAGATAAGATTATTTGTGTGGCTGCAGTTATATATTGCATCCATTTATTCCACAAAGATGTATGCTATACTATATCCAAGCCCTGTGCTAGATACTTTCCATAGGAAACAAAGATTCCATTGAGGTAAGCTAGACTATTTTAGGAGTTTCCATCTTTGTTACCATCAAGGTACCTCTTTGACAGTTGTTCCCCAGGAGCCATGTGTTTTGAAAGATCCTGTCTATTACATATTATGCTTGTGCTAGGCTTTCTCAGAATATTGAAAATAGCTTTTGAGTCTCCACTACAATTTTCAGGGAGTTGTAGAGGTCCAGAGCTCTTCATAAGAAAGCTGATCACGTTTAAAATTCAGAGCATGAGTCTTCGATTAGCATGGTTTGTGTGATTGTCACTGTGCCCAGTCCTGTTATTACAGCTGTGCTGAGGTACTTTGTATGGCTGTTTTCCAGACTTGCTTTGCTCAGATTACCATTTCTCTATCTTCTCCAGTTGCTTGCTGACCAAGCCTTTTCCATTGTACTTCCTTAGTGGCAGTGACCGTCTAGATAGAAAAAAAAAAAAAATTACACTAGGACAGAAAATAAAGAGACAAGGACAGGAAAACTCAGGCATTTATGGTCATTAAAGCAGAATTCTCTGTACACTTGTTAAATTGTTGCTGTCATATGAACCTCCTGATAATTTGTTTATTCATGTTTGTACATATTCTGCATAATATCAGTATATGCATTATTAGTGGAACCTATTTTCTCTCCTTTTTAAAATAAAAATTAATTATAAACAGAAAATTCTGAGATTTTGCATGTACTCTGAGGTGCATGTATCCCACTTTAGTCCCCTGTGGTTACATTGTCAGAAAAATGTGAGTGGTTGTGACTTTTTTTTTTTTTTTTTTTTGAGACAGAGTTTCGCCCTTGTTGCCCAGGCTAGAGTGCAATGGCGTGATCTTGGCTCACCGCAATCTCTGCCTCCCGGGTTCAAGGGATTCTCCTTCCTCAGCTTCCAATATCCCCCAGGAAGGTAGCTGGAATTACAAGCTTGCACCACCACATCAGGATAATTTTTTTATTTTTAGTAGAGACGAGGTTTCTCCATGTTGTTCAGGCTGGTCTGGAACTCCCAACCTCAGGTGATCCGCCCCCCTCGGCTTCCCGAAGTGCTGGGATTACATGCATGAGCCATCATGCCTGGCCGGTTGTGATTCTTAATATAGAGCCAAATAAAATCTGAATACCAGTCCACTAAAGCTGCTTTAATGGGATAAACTTTTAAATGAACCATTAATATATATTCCACATTAACCATTAATATATACTCCACATATTTGCTATTTGGGGTCTGAGGAGGCAGAAAGACAGAAAGAGATGGAAGAAAAGCCTGAGTTGACTTTAGGACTTTCAGTGTTCCAACGCCTGGATATAAATGAAGGATGAGCATTTCTACTTAATTTATCTGGCTGGATTCCTGTGCCTAATGGCTGCGTATATACCATAAACACTGTGAAGAAGCAACCATGGAAACACTTGTTTTCTCGTTGGGCTAAATTTACTCTGGATTGAATATTAACACAGGGCCTGGCAGTACTTTAAAAGCAAAAATAGCTTAAGCGTGATTCACTCTGAGTCATTTACTGCGGCTGCTGCTATACTGCCTAGAGCTTGACATTGAACAAGTTGGCAGCCTGTATTGCTACATTTTTTCTAGGAACTCTGAACACATTTCATTCTTGTGAATTCGCTTGTGCAACTATATTAAATAGAGTAATATGTTTATTTTGTTTCAGAGTCAAATGAATTTGAGAATGGTGAAACTGAATTATTTTTCTTGGGCTTTCTGGAAAAGCTAGATTCTCAGAATTCTCCTGTGGTTACAAGACTTACTCTATTTTATAAAGAATTAATAAAATGTCATAGGAGTTTTGTTTTAGGCACTTTGGGCTTTTCTGATTGAAAACACCACATGAACTAAAATATTATTGTGAAAAAGAACCTGGTAGTACTGTCAGGATTCATTAATTTTCTGATATTACCGGACAAGATGGTTTGTGCCATTCAGAAAGCTCTTTTACTTTCTTCTTCTTTCCTAATACAATGAGGCACGCCACGTAGCCTGCCTTATGGTTAAATTGGGTGTATGACTTGTAAACTTCCCTCTTGCTATTAAAGATTATATAATGGGAAGTTCATTGGTTTTGAAAGGCAGACCAAACCCACCCACGGGATTTCTACTGGCCCTTTAAATGTATTGCATCCATTTCTCTGAGTAAACCCATGTGGCTGAGAAATAGTGAGTAGCTTGTTGGCTGACTGTGGGAAAACCTATGAAGGATCAGTTGACCTCATCTGGGAAGGAGTCAGAAATGGCTAAGAATCTAAAACTATATATATGAGGATGGCTTTCTCTTGATGTTGCAATCTTTATTTTAACATGTTTTTGTGTTTAGCTTTTGGAGTTGCCTAACAGTATAATTTCAAATGAGGTTTAGTTTCAGCTGTTTAATTTTAAACTGTAGGGAACATGATCCAAAAAAAAAATTAAGGCACTATCATTTTTCTTAGAATTTTAATGATTTGTATAGGAAGAGTTTTCCTGTAACAGCCTGAAACGAAAATGAGCCTAACCTAATTCTTGATATTATTTTGAAATTGTTTTACCATAAAATTATTACATTAGAACGTGTGACTCTGTCAGAGAATTTCAACATAGTTGCATAAAGTGTGTTTCATATTACAACTTGTTCTCTGCTTGACTTCATTGAAATTAATAAAAGGACTCTTTGAGAAGGATCTGGTGAGT